AGGCTCCACTGACCACAAGGTGCCTACTGTGAATGGGAGCCTATATCTGAACCAGTGTTCAAGAGCAGTAGTGACATGAGGCATGGAGTGTTTGATGGCAAGGTTCTAAAACAATGAATGCTAACAGTGCTTGATTGAATGGTATTTATGTATTTGTTTACCTCTCAGATACATTTGAATCTCTGCTATGGGCAAAGCTCAGTACTAAGTACCATGTCAGCTTCAAAGAATTGGGAAGTTCACAATAATGTAAATAAAATACTTTTTTTTCTTAATGCCATTGAAGAGATAAAGGCATTAATTAATTGCTTGTAATAGGCTGGAGAGGTCCACATAAAGAAATTTATTAATGCTTCTTAATTTTCATTTTCTTTCCTCGTCTTTACTTTCTGTCTTGTCTTTGTGCATCAGTGAATTCCCACTGTTGTAGGTAGGTATATGGGAAGGTTCTCATCTGTGAGGCAGGCCTGCCCGATGTTTCATCATCAGGTTGGAAAGGGTCAAAGCCTTCTCAAACGTGAGATTGGATATTTGATTATTCAAATAATTTGTTATTTCCAAATTATCCTTTCGTTCTCTTAGTTATATAAGAAGAAAACTCGGTTATTTAGTATAGTTTTGAATTGATTATGATAGCTTTTTTAACCTGTTCAGTTGTTGAATTTTGTATGTTTCATCATTCTTAATATGAATACAGCCAAAAATCTCAGTGATTAATAAAGCCCATCAAAATTTGATGATTGATTTGAAACTTTACAAATCAGTAGGGATAGGAAAGAAGAGAATCATAGAATTATTAAATTTTAATACTGGAAAGAATTTTGAAGATTTAAAAATACTTTTCTAAATCTTAAAATTTTAAAAACTATTTGAATCAAAATATTTACATTTTAAAAAAGAAAGTATTTTTAATTTTTAATATGYCTGTATTTTATATAAGGAAATTGAGACTCAAAAAATGAATGAGAAGTATGAGTAAATGTGGTAAATATTTAGCAAGCTTAGAAGTGTTTTAATAATTACATAACAGGAGCTTGCTTTTTTCCTGACAGTTTTGGTGGTAATATTGCAAAAGAATTTTTTTTTTTAACCACTAGGGAATGCTGAAATGTCAACTGATCAACTGTAATAGAAAAAGAAAAATTAAAAATTTTTAAGCATTTTGATTATTTCATATTTTCTGTTTAGCAAAATGAAGTGACACATCTTTAGGTTCAAGATAAGAGGGAATTCAATGTTAAGGATGCCATTTTTGATTATTGGAAATTAGACCATTTCATAGTGATTATAACTCAGAGTATCCTATAGACAAACACATTTTATTCTTCCCTGCCCCTAGATTTGTGAGTATATATGTTTACCAGAAAATCTTTCTCCCTTAGTTGAGCAAAACTGAGTCTATATTCGTGGATGTACTGGATTGGAACCTATTTTTGTAATTTGTTGAGAAGCAATCATTGTCACACTGGTTTAACCCTCAGTAGAATGTCCAGCCTCAATTTCCTGTGGGCTGTGTAGCTGTTGAGGAAGGGTGTAGGACTTCTAAGACAAACTGCATCTAGAGATTTAGTCAGGAAATTTGGATTTGTGACTTTTTCAATTTTTTTCTTCATTTTTTTTTTGTGGTTTAAGTTGTTTTTGACTATAGTCAGAGAATGAGGTATCTTTGTARATGAATACTCCAGGGACATTAAAACAAACAAACAAACAAATTCCCAGTATAGTCAAAAATCAGTCAATCAATTTATTTATCTATACACAGAATTAAACTTATTGATTATCTATTTCAAATCCTTTGTTTCCTTAATTAACATAACCTGCCAAATATTGTTACAGTACTCTACTATGATCAGATTTTTATCATATTTTCCTCTGTATTTCTAGAAGTTTTAACTTTAGATGCTTGCCCGCTATATTGCTTGTTCATCATAAAGTTTTTATTTAAGGAAATACAATTAAACTTAATAAGTGGAGAGAGATATACTGGGCAACCAATGGAAAGAATTACCATCATTATAATGAACATCCTTTCTAAATTATATGTAAATTTAATGTCATTCTGGCCAGAAACTCAAAAGTTTTATTGTTGTTGTTGTTTGTTTTCTTTTTCTGAAAAAGGGAACTGATTAAGATATTAATATAAAAGTAAGTTGGTGAGAACACATGGGCACTTAACCACTGAGCCACATCCCCAGCCCTATTTATGTTTTATTTTGAGACAGGGTCTCCCTAAGTTGCTTAGCCTCATTAAGTTGCTGAGGTAGGCTTTGAACTTGTGATCCTTCTCTCTCAGACTCCCAAGTCACTGGAATTACAGATGTGAGTCTCCATGCCTGGCCCTAAAAGTATTTTTTAAAAATATAAGAGTAGTTGAGGTGGGGAGATTCCTTTATTATGTGTTTAAATTACCATAATGCTGTAGTAATAAAAATAGTGACACAAAAAAATACAGAATTAAGTCAATTGACTACAAAACAGATTTTATCTAGCATTATAAGACATTCATATATGATAAAGGCCATATTTCATTTCTCTGGGAATAGGCATAATTGGGTATTTTTAAAGAGAACAAAAGTAGTGTTCTTCAGATAATAAATGAAAATGAAATAATACTTAAGAAATTTTAGGAGGCTGTATTTTTGAGATGGGGAAAACTTTCACAGATGAAGTAGGAAATGGAGATGAAATAAAGGAAAATACTGACATGTTAACTATATGAAATTTAAAATTTTCTTTCTAAAATAATACATCATAAATTATACTAAAATGTTTCATCACCTGTACGACAGCCAGAGATTTGATAACTCTAATCTTTAAATAGGAAAGCAGACAATCTATTAGAAAAATAAACAAGGTTGTGAACAGGCAGTTCAGAAAAGAAAAAAATCTGTATTATCAAAACAAAATGAAGATGCTCCATTCTAGTAGGCAGGGAAGTAAAAAATCAAAATAACAGTGAGAAAAAAGTTTTTACCTATTCTGAAGAGCAGATTTAAAAGAGTCTAAGTGTATTGGGTACTATGAAGGTGATACAGAAATGGATGCCAGCGTGCCCTGTGGTAAGTGGAGACTGGCACAGTGTCCTGGCCTGAACTACTTATATCTCTTTAATGTGTCCTTATTTTATGACGTATCACTTTTTGTTCAATATCCTCCATTTGTTTGCCCCTTTATAACTTGTGCCAGTCCAGACTGATAACTGGTAGAAAGCTGTCACACAGGTCTCCAATTAGGGACCCTATAAAGTCTTGAGCCTCAGTTGCTCCCTTAAAGATTCAGCTACCCCTTTGCTTTCCCTAGTTACTTTTCTCCTTAAAGGCAAATGGTATTTCTGTTCTCCTCTGTCTTTAAATCTTTAATGCTGACACCTTTCCCTTTAGGAGCAGATGGCTGCACCTCCAGATCCATAAGGGAAAATGGAAACTCCACATACTACCTGCCACTAAACATGCAGTGTTCTTCCTCTTCCTTTTCTAAGGCTAGCAGGCCCCCTGTGTTGGGGATCCCAGCCCTGTCTATCTGCCTGAGGAGAAAAGGAAGATGCCCTCCACTTTTCCTCATATGTCCCCTGATAGTACATACAGTGGCCTACAATACTCACACCCTCAGGTTTTTTGTTACCTTTCTGACCTCTGTGTGTTATACACGTACTTGTAGGTGGACAGAAAGAAAGAAAGACATTGTAGAATAATGAAAAAGCAACATGAGCTGAATTGAATAAGAACACCTCTAGAGTAAAGATGAAAGAAATGATGGAGAAAACCTAAAAGCAACCCACTCTTCTCCCCAGGCTTGGAGGAAAGTAGGGAACATTTTACTCTTACTTAAGCAAATGTTTTAGTCAACTTTTTCATTGCTGTGACCAAAAGAACTGACAAGAACAATTTTGAGGAGGACAGTTTATTTGGGGCTCATGGTTTCAGAGGTCTCAGTCCATAGATGGCCGACTCCATTTCTCTGGGCCCAAGATGAGGCAGAACATCAAGGTAGAGGGTGTGGTGGAGCCAAGCAGCTCAGGGCATGACAGTCAGGAAGCAGAGCAAGAACTCTTGCTTAGGCTCACCAGGGACAAAATAAACAGCCCAAAGGTACACCACAGGGGGACCCTCCCCATCTCCAACTACACCCTACCTGCCTGTAGTTACCACCCAGATAATCCTTATCAGTGGGTTAATTCACTAATTATATTAAGATTCTCATGACCCAATCATTTCCCCTCTAAAGTTTCTTGCAGTATCTTTCACAGGGCTTTGAGAGATAATTCATATTTAACTATAACACCAAATCAAATTTAGTTTTTAGAGCTGACAGACTTTACCATTGTAGTTTCTTAGCAAATTATAAACCTGAAGGTTGTACTTTGATATTTGTATTCAATTTCACTTTTCTATAAATAAGTGAGAAATAAAACTTTTATCTGGAAACTAGTGCTTCCTAGGTATGTTCTTTTCAAAACTGATTTGGGGATGCGGTTTGGGAGGAAGTGAATGAAGTCTTCAGTGTGCTGACATGCTTTGTGGATTTCTAAGAGCAGGCTGACTAGGCAGTGTGGTGGTTTCCAACTGCATGACTGTTTCAGAGTTCTTTCTGCACTTTCCCCTCTTCCCTTTCTCTAATGTATGTCATGTATCCTAAGGAAAATAGTTTGAGAAATGTTGTAGGACATAGATAAATATGTGGTGCTGAGGGAAAAAAAGAAGAAAAATCCAACTGAAGATGCACAGTAGCATGACTATTGATCATTTTCTATTCCTTTTCAGGTTATTTGCTTTTCTGACTGTACACATTTTGAAGATAGCAAATGAGATTTTTAAAAATGAAATGTATTTTGACAAATACTTTGGAGAAATAAATTATTTTGTAAATAAGCATAAGTAAATTCTACTGTGGCCGAAAGAGTTGTAGTTCTGAAAGATTGTCATGTTATATTATTTTAAGGTTTTATTAGGTTGCACTGGATTTCTGATATTTGAGTTGTGCTTTCTTATCCTCTTTTCCAGTGGAAGTCGATTGGGAGGCCTGGTTACAGTGTTATGCTTCTTTTTCAATCATGGAGAGGTAGGTGGTCAGAAAATGCTTTCAGAATTAACCTTGGAAATACAGCTTTCTTCCTTAAATTTCTTTAAATTTAATCTGCAGTAGCATTCTTTAAATGTTTGATCTTATTATTTTGACCCAAAATTTAAGTGGTAATATTTTATTTTAAGTTAACTTTTCATGACCCTTATATCTTTTACATGATATTATTATTACTGGTTTGAGAAAATAGTGGATCTATAACAATTCTTTTTAAAATGATAAAAGCTCATATTTTAGGAACAATATACTTTTAATTGTCCTTTAAGGAATTTTTATTATACCTACACATTTGCAAATGTCTGTGGGCTTTCTGAATAAAAAAATAGCATTATGAAGTACAAAGATTCTGGATCAGGTTGCCTGGGTTCAGATCCTGACTATCATTTAGTAGCTGTGCTAGCTGAGCAAGTCATTTCATTTCTCTGTGCCTTTATTTCCTTTTGGCAATTGGCATAATGATATTCTAGTTTTATAGGAGGATTTTTACAGTAAGTAAATGAATTCACTTGTGTAAAATGCCAAAAGCAATGTTCGGAACATAACTGCTATGTAATTGTTAACTTGAAGTGTTATTTTTACTTATTATTACTATTACGAAAAGTTTAGTTCAAATTAAATTTTAATATAAATTCAAAGTGACAGTGACTTCTTTCCTTTAATCATATTTGTAAACAACTTTCTACTAAATATATCTCTGTTCAGAAAGGTCAGCTTGCTTTTTTTCAAGTGACTTCATATTTTCTTAGTTTATACACTGAGTGTCTTCAGTATTTGATTGTGTGCATATTAAAAAGCTCTTAAGAATTAGTAATCATGCAAAGTTAATGTACTTTACTAGTGGTGGCCCACTAATATGCACTTAATTCCCTGGAATCACAGAAGTATAAAGCTGGAGTGGCCTTGTAGATGAGAAGATGCTTGACAAATGATTGCTGTGTAACATAAGTTATTTAGTGTAGTGTGAGTTTTGAGGAAAGAAAAGAAAAGAATAATTTGACTTTTCCTTACTGGATGCTGTTCATTGTGATAGTATGGACTATGAAACATTTTGAAGCAAAGATTCTTTAAAAATGACCTAAGAAATGGGATATAATGGCTTAATAATAGAAGAAAGAAGCATTGTATATTAACAACAAGATGCTGGAGGAAAGGGATTATTTAATGTTTTTGAGCCAAGATGCAGTTAGAAAGACCACTGTTTATAAGCACAAAGGTTCATTGTGTTACCCTCCATGTCAACTTCGGATTGTTAATTCCTTATCTTATGTTTTTCTTATAATTTTGATGCTCGTGTAGCAAGAACATCATTTCTTACAAAATCTTTTCAGTTTTTAACAATGGAATTCAAACTACTTAGCTTGAGTTTTCAGACTGATGGATTTTCTTTTTGCTACTTTTTCAGCTAACTTGAGTTTATTTCAACATGCTTAGACATCACTTTTTTAAGAAAAGATAAATATGATTAGAATTAGAATTGTAGTCTTATTGAAATAACCAAATAAACAATTGCATTTAGATGTAATGTAGCTTTAAAAGTGACTTTTTTGTGTGGAATAGCGTCTATTTAAAAAATGATAGTGTAAACTGCAGTTTTGGGGAAAAGTGTCATTGAGTGCTCAAGTAATTGAAAACATAATTTTGAATATATTTTGGCTTTCAGATTATGAGATTTTCAGACCTTTTTTTCTGATTTTTAAAAATGTTGCCTAAATTATGCAATTTTTATATGAATGGAAGCATTTACTCTGGTAATGCCTATTCATGTATCTAGTGAGCTTTCTTCACTAAAATTGCTTTTGGTTAATGACTAGTATCTTACTGTTATAGAAGAAATGTTTTAATCACTTGACTGAATTGCTTATGTGTCCCCCAAATAGTTGTAAATTGTTACTTGCTTTTTAGTTCTATTCCATTATTTAGTTTGTCCTGTACTGGATATATGATATACTTAAAAAAATTTTTTTTCCCTCAGAGAGAAATTTTTGCCTTAACAAAGTAGGAAATATATAGCACAAATATATTAATCAAATTATTTAAAACAAAGCCTTCAAATATGAAAAGTGAAAATAAAGGGGCTATAAGTTGCCCAAAGTAATGATCAATCATATTGAGGTTATGTATTCCATAATCAATTATATAGATATTTTTACTTATCAGGCTTCTTATGTTACTTATATAATATTTGGAAAAAAATTCTCAAAATACTTTGAACAATCTTGATAACCCTTATGTAATATTCTTTTGTAATAAATAGAAAATAATATGCCATTATGCATTAAAATGAAAGCACTAAAAGATAAGTGATTACCTCAAGTTTGCTAAGTAGGAAGATGATTCTTTTAAAATTTTATTTTTAATTTTTATTTATTTTAATTGATGAATTATTGAGTGTATTTTTGGAGTATAGTCAAACTGTACTCCAAAGAGTCAAAACTAGTAACTATACTCCTTACCTTATCAATATTTTTATAAGAATGTTAAAAAGCTATTTTTATAGCAATTTTGAATTATACAATGCATAAACTGTGGTCACTGTGTAATACAATAGATCACTAAAACTTTTTCTTTTAATCTAGTTGGAACTTGGTGCTCTTTGGTTAATTTTCTCTGCTTTCCCATCCCTCTCTTTTCCCCTTGTTCCCAGCCCATTAACTAACTTACCATTTTGTTCTTTGTTTCAATCAGTTTGATGCTTTTGGATTCCATATATATGTGAGATCATGTGGTATTTATCGTCACTTTCATTTACAGGTTTTCACATTTTGCCACATTTGCTTTCTCTCTTATACACACCCCTGCACACAGACATTTTTCTGATCCATTGGAAAATGAGTTGCAGACATGATGACATCTTACCCCCCAATACCTCAGTATCTATTGCCTGAAAGCAAGGCAAGTCCTATATAATCACAGTTTACCTTTATCATCATACTCAGGAAGTTCAATACTGAAAATTATGCAATAATAACTTATTATAGTCCATATTTATATTTCCACAGTTTTCCCAGTAAGTTCCTTTATGCTTATGTTTTGGATATAGAATCGGATTAAGTTCATACATTGCATATGGTCATGATTTTATCTAGAACAGTTTATCTGAAACAGTTCTCCTGTCTTTTTCTTTTCCTTGGCATTGACATTTTTGGGGAGTCCAGGTCTATTATTTTATAGAAGCCTGACAAATTAGATTTGTCTTATTATTTCTCACTAATGGATTTAGATTAGATATTTTTGTGAACAACATGATGTAGATGAGGTTGTGCCTTTTTCATTGTAGTGCATGTGGAGGTATGTAAGACCAGTTTGTCCCATTATTGAGTTTACTTGGTCATATGGTTAAGATGGTGACTGTCTAGATGTATCTATTATAAGAATGCTTCTATTCCTTCTACATTGATTAAGAGGTTGTGGGTTGATACTTTGAGCCAATGAATATCCTGTTCCCTTATAACATTTGACCACAAGGTTATACTATCCATTGATGATCCTTTCCTGAGTTAGTCCTTGCATTGACCGTTGCTAATAGTAATTTTTAATTCTTCCTTCCTTCCTTCCTTCCTTCCTTCCTACTGGGAATTGAACTTAGTGGTTCCCACATGCTAGGAAAGTGCTTAATACCAAGCCATATTCCTAGCACTATTTTATTTAATCCAGTTAACCTAATGCCTTTTGTTAAAAAGACCATTCTTTTTAGTGGTGCTTTTGTCATAAATAAAGTGACTGTATATTTCTGAGTTTGTTTTTAGACTCAATTCTGTTCCCTTTGTCTGCTTATCTTTAAGCTAGTATCACACTAAATAGGTAGCTTTGTATATTTGATATCTGATAGTAAAGTCTCCAACCTTGCTCTTCTTTAGTATTACCATAGCTCTTCAGATCCTTTGTGTTTTTGTATAAATCTTAGAATCAGCTTGTCATTATTGCTTTCTTCCTCAACACAAACACAACCTTTCAGGATTTTAATAGTGATCACTCTGAATCTCTAGATTAGTTGGGAAAATTTAGATCCTAAATATATTGAATCAGCTCTACTCTATGAACATGGCTATAGCACTTCATTTGTATCAGTTTACTTTAATTTCTCTCAGCAATCTTTTGTGTCTTGTACTTCTTTTGTTGGATTAATTCCAAGATGCTTAATACTTTTGGGTACTGTTCTTAGTCCCTTAGTGCTTTGGTGTGTCCTTCAGTCTTTGAAGGTTTCTACTGTCCTAGTATTGCCTTGTACTTTCTTGTCCCCAGATATAGAATCAGTTATTTTCCAAGGAATCCTGGATCCTGTTAGTGGAAAATGATATTTAGAGACCAGAGTCTGGGTAATAAACTCTTCCATTTCCTCAAACATCAATCATTTCTGTGTGCTGGGAACTTTTGTACATCTCTGGTTATTTTGGAATATATTATATGTTGTTATAACTAATAGTTACCCTATTTCCAACAAACCCACTATTGGGTATGTAGCCAAAGGAAATGAAATCAGTATATAATAGACACACCTGCATTTYGGTGTTCATTGCAGCATTATTCACAGTAACCAAGATAGGAATTCACCAATGTGTCCATCAACTCATGAATGGAGAAGAAAAATGTTGTCTTTCTCTTTGTTCTCACACAAGGAAAGACATCTATCCTTGTGTGTCTTTCTCAGTAAGATTTCTTATTTCCCAATTTTGCTGTTTGTTAAAAGTCCAGTAACTTGTTTTATAATATGTCATTTAAATTATGTGTGAGATGTACTTCTCTTTGCATTTATAAATAGCAGCTTTCACTTCTGTGTCTTACTTAGCAAATTTAGCAAGTATATCATACACTCTGATTGTTCTTTTTTCAGTGTACCCGTGTGATGTGGACACCGCCTCTCCGTGAAAGCTTTTCATATCCTTTCCTTGTACTTCAGATGTTGCTTGTGACTCATATTCTCAGGTAATATTCATTTGTCCTTAGATTTTCTGGTGTTCCTCTCCCCAATAACCTAAAGTAATGTTTTTTAAGTTTCCATAATAAAAAAGCCAACATAATAAATTAATTGAGATGACCTTGTTATGTTGAATTAGTAAAGATTCTTTAAAAGTGTAACTTGAAAATCCATAGTACTGAAGACGTTTCCTCTGTCTGCCTTCTAGTCCTCTTGCTTTCTCTTAGTGGTCCTCAGTGGCTGCTCAAGGAAAGCTTTCACTTCTTCTCTGCTTACCTAAGTCTTTATTTGTTACCACTACAGTCTCCTAAAAGTGGGCAGAAAGATAGGGAGATTATTTGTGCTATACTTTAATCTTGTAAGATATAGTCCTTTGAAGTCAGGAACACCTCACACAGTTGTCATCATCAGGTACATAACACAAGTAGTTTGTCTTCCTATATTTGTTTAGTATCCCTGTCAGATAGTAGGAATAGAAGGAAAACTCCCCAGCAGACCAGAGATGTTCTAGGAGAATTCATGCTAGAAGTTCAGGCTTTTCCTGTTCATCTGATCTTCAGCTAGTTCAAGCACCAGTGAGAGCAGGGGAGAACATTTCCCCTTCTGTTGACATACTGAGTTTCCATATACATTGCCTTGCTTCAGAGGGTAAATATAAAACAAAATGGAGCCTGTAGAAAAAGAGAACAAAATATGATAAAAATCTGACACTGTCTGGGACTCAGAACGCCCTTCAGTGTTCCGTTGAATTCAAAAGAAACTTGTTAAAGTCTATTATGCTCAATAATTTACCTGTGTAATGACCTCAGGAGGTATAGCACCAGTACATGGCCTCCAGTCCCCTATGTCATGTCTTCAGATAGATCTTTCCCAGTTGGGATGGGGAGATGACTTTTGTATTATCAGCTTTTTAAGTCTGTGCAACTCTAGCTTTATTGCTGTCTCTTAAATCCTCTTTTATTATTGGATTTTAAGCTTCTTTATTTACTTCAAATAAAGTAAATGTTTATGAAGTAATAACCTTTAGCTCTGCCCTGTTGGTTTTGGGGCACCTTGAGACATAGTCTCTCTTCAGACTTTCTGGAAGAAATGTTGTGTTGTAGGAGAGTGAGTGACCATTGCTGAAGCATTTTTCCACATCCATGTTCTTGATCTTAGCTTTTTTCCCTGTGGTGAACACACTGGTTTGCCCATTAGTGTCTCAGTCCAGTTTTTCTTCTGCCTCTGCTCCTGTTTTAAATCCAGTGAAGGCAAACCTTCGATTCGTCTCCTGTTTACTCTCTAATCTGATGTAACCTGTGGAGCTTGAATGGTGCTGCTTCATTTGCTGAGTCCATCTGTACTGTCTTAGTTGGTTGTCTTAGTTTCTTGTTGCTGTGATAACAAATTGCCACAAACTTTGATTTATTAGTTTGTAGTTCTATAAGTCAGAGGTCCTAAACCTCAAGATGTTGGCAGGGATGCTCTCCTCCTGGAGTGCATCCTGGGGTGGGGGCCGGGGGAGTCATTTACTACTTGCCTTTTCTAGCTTCTATAGGCTGCCTGAATTTCTTGGCTCAGGATCACTTCCATCATCAAAGCCACCAATGGAGGATTGAATTCTTCTTCTGTCAGTTCACTCCAACGTTCTCTGCTGCTGCTTTTCTTACTTTTAAGAACCCTTTGATCTGGACATGGTGACACATGCTTGTAATCCTAGCTACTAGCCCATAATCTCAGCTTGAACATCTGAAGAATCTAATGCAGAAGAATCAAAAAATGGAGCCCAGCTTGGGCAATTTAGTGAGCCTCTCTCAAAATAAAAAAGGCCTTCAGAGGTAACTCAATGGCAGACTGCTAGGTTCAGTCCCCAGTATTGCCAAACAAAACAAACCAATCAAAACCCTTGTAATTACATTGGGCCTTCCTGGATAATCCAGGATAATTTCTCTCTCTTTACGTCAGGTGATTATAAATTTTAATTTCATTTGCCACCTTAGTTCCCCTTTGCCATATCAAGTGACATGCACAGGTTCCAGGAATTAGGATGAGGTCATCTCTGGAAGCCATTATTTTACCTACCATAAGTGAGGTTGCTCCAATTGCTGTTTCATGCATTCAGGGGCTGCTTAATGTTGGGTTCTTCTCTTATTTGTTCTCCAAGGACTTCTGTTTCAAGCTCTTCCTTTAGTCTTCCAAATAAATCATAAGAAATCTTCATACTCTGTTTTTATCTTGGTTGATGTCTTCCTTTTCATATTCCTCATTATGCTGCTTTTGCCAGTGCTGGTTCATCATCATCTTGATCCTCCTTGACACCTTCATTGGCAGCTCTCAGTTAAGGGGGCAACTTTCCTTGTTTCTTTTCTTCTTGTTGGCATGACTCCCTACTTACCTAGCATGGTTGGTGTGACTGGTTGCTGGAAGTGGACTGGCTCTACTTTTATTTTCCTGAAGTGACAGTTGCACTTTGGGAAGTGCAGTCTTGACAGCTGGGAAACCACATCCTCTTTTCTGGATCCTTGGCAGACTTCTTGTCTTTCTTTTGAGGAATAATGACTTCATCTCTACTGATTGTTCACATCTTCTGGTATTTCATCTTTATTATTGATTCCTTTCCTCTTTGGAAGGATAGTTGTTTCCTCTAGTTTTCTTGGTTTCTATCTGTAGTAAAAAATCTGATAATATGAGAGGGAGGTTGGGTGAGTGGGTTGGGTGAGCAAGAAGCAGCTGAGCTGTGTTGAAATATACTGCAGTGCAGAGGGAACTGTGATAAAACTGGAAAAGAAACTATTCCTAAATGCTGGTAATCAATTATTAGTAAGGTTAGCTGCATATTTTATTTTAACAAATTAATTTTGTCCAGGTTTGAATTTTTAAGTATTTTTAGAAATTTGGATTTTTTTATCAGCCACCTAATAACAGCACAGTCTTAGTTTTTCCTTCGTTATTCTTGGCAATATTTATGTTTTCATTTCTCTTGTCTTGGGTCAGTGGTGTATTGATCATACATCACCAGTTAGAATTCCATTGGTTTCTATTTGTTCTTATCCCCCTCCAGTGCATTCTGTACCAACTGCCAGATTAGTATTAAATTCTACTTGGATATCTTTAATGTCTCTTGTTACCCATAAAATGGAAATACTGTTTAGTATCCAGAAGCAATAGTGAGGGGTCAGGGGTGTAGCTTAGTTATAGAGTGCTTGTCCGGATGTGCAAGGCCCTGCGTTCCATGACAAGCATCATGGGGAAAAAAAAATGAAAGAGGAAAAATTTTAAAAAGCTGTAGAGAAATGTAAAGAAATTTCTATCTAAGAAACTTTCAAAACTTTTTGGGTAGGATGCAGTCTTATCTATTCTGTTTCCCTCTAAATGTCTACATTAAAAAAAAAAAAGCTGGGTTTTATCTAGTTGATTTTGTGATTCATTTAGGTTACCTGGAGTTTAAAAATAACTTCAGTTGGGTTAGAAGAGCAGAGAGGAATGTCCTTTGAGGAAGGGCTATTTGAAGAAGTGAAGAAAGGCATTCTATGGTGATGCTCAGTGCACCAGGGGGTTGTAACCCAAGAAGGTTTGCTTTCTTCTGTCCAAGCTGCTTACCCTTGGTATGTTCACGTGCACACGCTACTTCTGTAAAGAATATTGGGTATATTTAGGGGCTTTGCACTGGCTCAGATTTAGGAAAAAAGATGAATCACCTCACCCTCCCCAAATTCTCCTAAATCACAAGTCAGTATCAATGTGAATCTTCTAAAGATGGCTCCAGAACTGCCCTCCCCTGCCCCACTTTTGCCTCCATTTCTAGTTCTCTTTCTATGTTCTACTAGTACAAGACCAACTTTTATCCTACATCCTCACAAAATCTTCTCAGCTGCTCAGCTCTGATTCTGAATTCTTTCAACATTTGTATATATATATATATTATATAGCATTTAGAATATTCCACTTTTTTGTCATTTTTTTCATAGATATCGTCTCTCTCTCCAACTGATGAATCTATTGAATCAACATTTAAGTTTTGGAAAAAAAATTCAGTTTCTGTACTAACCTGGGCAGTTCCATGACAGGGTTTTGTGTTTTTACAGTAATAAATGGACATTTACTTTTTACAGAAAATTGTTGTAATTGGGTGTCAGGAGACATAATTTCTAACCCATTGGTCCATTTTATGTTCAGTTTGTGTTATAACACATCATGTTGGAGATTCTAATTTGCAGTGGTTGGAAGCCATGCTAGACTCTTTTGTTGTTAAACTTACTGATATTTATTTTACCTTTTCAAGGGCTACAAAACTTTATAGAGGAAGCTTGATTGCGCTCTGCATTTCCAATATATTTTTCATGCTTCCATGGCAGTTTGCTCAGTTTGTACTTCTTACTCAGGTAAGGTGATTATATTTTTAAAGTGATTTAGAGCATTTGATTAAGTGAACTCATTTGTTTAACATTATAACTGAGCTCCTATATGATTCTAAGTCCTAAAATGTTTATTTAATGGTTTTAAAGAAAGTTCAGAGTAAGGAAATGTGCAAGATTTGTTTATTAATGAGTATTATTTACTTACTAGAAAAATGCATTTATGAATCCATTTTATAAACGGCTTATCTTTGTTACTCAATATTTGTGGGTTTAAAAGAGAACTAATATTATAATTTTAATTATTTCTTTTAAATAACTATAGTATTTCTCTTAAGTAAAATGTGTTACTTTTATGCATAGTGCCATATTTTTTACATGTAGGATAACTACATCGGATAAGAGGATAAATAACTATTGAAGTTCATATTTTATAATTTCCCCTCCCAATTTGGAGTTTATCACCTTTTCATGTATTCATTCCTTCTTTTCAAATATTGACATATAAAACAAGGTAGCTATTATGTATTCATTTTCCTCCCATTTCCTACTTATTTATTATTATGCTTGCCATATTTGTATAAAGCAGTAGATGAATTGCTTTTTAATATTCTTTGGAATGTGTTGCTTCAGTACTGAAGTCAGACCTAGATATGAGTCCTAATTCTATTCATTAGCTGCTTGACTTTGACAAAAAACTTAACTTTTCTTAGTTTCAATTTTCTCATTTCTAAAATAGAGAAAATAAAAGAACCCACTTTATTGGGTTGTGGTTAGGATCAGATGAGGGTAATATATTAAGACTCAACAAAGTACCTAGTACTTAGCCAGATTCGTTCATCTTTTTTTTTTTTTAATATACCTGATTTGTACTTACTTCTTCCTTTGATCTTATCTTTTAGACTCCTTTACCTTCTTTGGTTTGATGACATTTTACATTAGTTTTTTATTTAAATTATCCCTGAGATCATCTCTTTAAGATTCTACCATGGAGGTGTTCTATATATTGTTTAGCCTTTGGAGTGAAAAAGGATCTTACTTTCCCCATTGCTTTCAGTTAGTGAAGATATCCTTCCTTTTGTGTGTGTGTGTGTGTGTGTGTGTGTGTGTGTGTGTGGTGGGGGGAGTTGACATGCCTCTGTGGTTCTTATGTTGAATAACAACACACACTTCCCTAGAGTTATTATTATATGAAGTAAAATAATATGAATAACAACTGTGAGGGAGTGTGTGTTGTTAGTCACTTTTAAGCAGTATGGTTTCCCCATGGGTAACTAAAAGAAGAGACATCTTGGTTTGGATCTTGGTTTGGTGGTGGTGTTTATTTTGTTTGTTTTTACTAATAGGAACGTTTGTTGTAGATTATTTGGTGATAAAATCCTTAAAGATTGTAATTTAAGTTATATGTTTAAATATTTAGCTGTTTCAATTTGCTATGTATGTGTGGTAGGAGAGGCATGGGATTTAATTTGAATGGCTTTCTCCATGAAGAAGGGTGGAGAGGCATTGTCTGACGTAAGACCTCTTTATAAGAGATACAGTGTCATCATTTAATCAATCCGTCTAAATAATTCTAATAGAATTCTTGATTAATAATGTACAATTTTCTTCAAATTGGAAAGTTAAAAGTACCTTTGTAGTGAAAGTACTCCTTTTAATTTGAAATTTAATAAATTTCATTATAACTAATATTTGAATATTTATACTAATGAAATACAACACTAACAGAGATACTTGTGAAGAGTGACAAAAATCAGAAATCATTATTTTTACATAAACATGTATTGCTTATTTTTGAGTCTTAATGTACCTTCCCCAATTATGTATTAATGGATATGTTATAATTACATTTTCATATTTTTTATGGATCAGAGTACTTTAATTATACATGTTAATGATAGTCAACCTGATATAAAAATGAGTGTTGTTTTTGGATGATCCACAAAGTAAATAATTCATGTGAGCTGTACATGACAGAAGAAAATCAAGCACAATTTGCCAAGTTAATATATTGACCATACTCAATAATAAATTGGGAGATAAAGGAAAATCATAATCTCACTTTCTGTGTAACTATAAATAAATTTAAGGCAACAAAATTATTTTCCTGCATTTTTATACTTATTTATTTTATATGTATATTATTTTTATTTTTAACTTAATTTCTTTTTAAATTTCAGATTGCATCATTATTTGCAGTATATGTTGTGGGGTATATTGATATATATAAATTACGGAAGATCATTTATATACACATGGTAATGAATTTTAATTGTTTTTGTTTTGTTTGATCTTAAGATGAACTTCTGACTAATATTTAATTTGCTTATTGTTGAAACTAGTTGTAAAATGACTCTATAACTAAGATAAGGGTTGTTCAAACACTGTAATATAGTTGACAGACCTCATTTTACATAGGCCACCCAGAGAGTTTTAATTTTGGCCATAGTATCTGTTTGAGGATGTATCGAATTTATACTTTATCAATAAAAGCAATTCATGAAAGAAATATGCAACAGTAGTATATTATCTGTGGAGAGCTGTCTGGTAAAATGAAGTATTCATTCACTGGGCATCTACCACTAAGCATGTTGGACAGGTGGGTGACTAGAACTAGAGGCTCTAGCATTCATGTGGCTGGTCTTCTAGTAGTGTGAGGAAGGAGAGAAGACAGAATAAATAATGAGTGTGCTAAAAGGATAAATTAGCATATTGGAGGATGATAAGGATTAAAGAGAATGGGCAGATCAGTAGTGCCAGGGTCACAGGATATAAGATCCAGGTATCAAGTAAAGTGGTCAGGTTGCATCACGTTAAGAAGAAGGAAACTGATCAAGGATTGGAAGGAGGACAGGGTGGTAGCTAATAGATACCACAGAGAAGAATATTCTAGGTTGGTGGAGCAACCAGAGCAAAGGTCCCAAGACTGATGAGTTGATGTTGATGAATTATCTTTTAAAAACATTTGTCTTCTATTATTAATTTATATATATATGTATATATATGGTGCTTTCTGATGATCTTTATGTTATTGTAGTATGCCATTATTGCTTTTTAATTCTCTATAGTAGTTGATAAACATAAAAGGACATTTAAGTGTAGGGAAGTTATGGTTATGAACACATTTACAAAATTAACAACTATGAGATTGTCCTCCAAATGAAAAATAGAACCTTGTCATTACTGTGAAGTCCTATGTGACCTATAAATATCTTTCACCTCTCTGAGAGTTAAATGTACTCACTCTTTAAATTGTTATAAGCTTGCTTTCCTTTTAAACTTCACTCTGTATGTAATATACACTCTGTATGTATTCCCAAATAATATATATTTTTATTATTAAATATTAGCATGGGTTTGGTTTGTATAAATGCTTTTCTTTTGAGAATCATGTTTTTACTCAAATTTCTGAGATTTATATTGATGTTCAGATATTTTCACTGCTTTACGTTTTCCATTGTATGAATAAAGTACAATTTATCCATTTTCTTACAGAAGGATATTTAGATTCTTTCCTCTCTACCACCTGTACTTCTTTTTTCATTTATGAATAACATTATATTCTTATTCTTATCTCCTGAGGCATATATATTAAAAAGTTCCTCTGGAGTATTTACCCTGTAGTAGACTTGCTGGGTGGTAAATTATGCACATGTTCAACTCCATAAATACCAAATGATTTTTCTAAAATGATCAAACTACTTCAAATAGCAATGTATAACAGCTCATATTATTCTACATTTAAATTTTTTTTTTTGTTCAGTCTGGTTGGTATAAAATGGTATCTAGTGACCTTAATTTACATTTTCTCTCAGTAAAGCTGAACATCTTATGTTTATGGACCTTTGTGTTTCCATTTTTATGATATTCCCATTCAAACCTTCTATCAGTTTTTCTCTTATATTCAAGAGAAAATGCTATCTGTTTTATTCAGAGCAGTATAATCCATTATTTTTGCTTTTATGTTGATGCTCACATTGTTCCGTATTTGTCCAACTGTTTGGACCAGCTTCTCCTTTTATCTTGTCCTCATCATGCTTTGAGCACTTTAAAATGTACTTAGTAAATATGAAGTTTCATGAAATCTGCATCTGCTTAGATGATCCTGTTTTTCCCTCCTTAATCTGCTACTATGGCAAATATGCCATAACTGATTTTCTTTTCTTTTCTTTCTTATTCTTTTATTTTGTAGGTATTGAACTCAGGGACACTTAACCACTGAGCCACATCCTCAATCCTTTTAATATTTTATTAGAGACTGGTTCTCACAGAGTTGCTTAAGGCCTCCCTAAGTTCTGAGGCTGGGTTTGAACTCGAGATCCTCCTGTCTCAACCTCCTGAGTCACTGGGATTACATGTGTTAGCCACTGTACCAGGCACATGAACTGATTTTTCTAACATTTAAAAACAAAACAAAACAAAAAAAACCTCTTGCTTTTCTGGGCTAGAGATATATATATATATATATATATATATATATGTATATATATATATATATATATATATATTGTTGAATTTGATTTGTTCTATAGGATTTTTACATCTCTTTTGGTGAATGGATCCAACAGTAAACTTTTATATATATTTGGTTAATTATTTTTCCAAACCAATTAATACATTTTTTTTTTCAAATCAGAATAAATGGTAAATGTTGAGAGTTGCACAATCATGTAGTCACATAGGCAACTATAGCTGAGTGCTTTGACTCAAAGTTGTAGTTATCAAATTACTGAACTTATACAGATTTAATTTGTAGGTGAACCTTCTTAGGTAAATAATATATAGTTATGTGATTTACTTCTCTGTCTTCACTATTACTTTATAGTTTGTCAATTTCTTTTCTTTATTTTTTAATAATAATAGTAATGTATTTATTTGCATATGACATGGAATGTATGTAGACAATTCCAAGGAATCTATAACAGTTACTAAAACCAATGAGTTTAACATAATTCAGGATATAGGATCAATATGCAAACATCAATTCTATTTTCATATTAGCATTGAACAACTTGAAAATGAGTTAAAAGTTTGATTCATAGTACCAAACATCATTAAAAATATATTTAGAAATTTAATAGAAGGTGTTACGTAAAGCAATTCATTTTATGTATTGTTAAAATTTTTTAATTAATTTTTTATTTTTTATTTGTGGCAGTGGAATCCTCAATTTATTATAGCTATAAAAATATAGATTGCCCACAAAAGAATTATTTTTACTTTAAAAAATTGTGATAAAATATATGTAACAGAATTTACCATCTTAAGCACTTTCAGGTATATAGTTCAGAAGAAGTAAGTACATTCATGTATTTTTGCAAGTATCACCAGTCTGTATCTTTAAATCTTTTCATCTTGCAGAACTGAAACTCTGTACCCATTAAACAACAACTCCTTATTCTCCCATCTTTCCAGCCCTTATTGTTTTGTACAGATAGTTTCATAGCCCTAGAAATCCTCTGTGCTCTGCCTATTCACTTTATTCTCACCCCCTACTCCTAGTAACCACTGATCTCTTTATTGTCTCCTTAGTTTTTCTTTTTGCATAGTGCCATATATTCAGAATCACACAGTGTATAGATTTTCAGATTGGCTTCTTTCACTTAGTAAAATGCAGTTAAGTTTCCTCCAAGTTTTGATAGCTCATTTCTTCATGGTGCTGAATAGCATTTTGATTATGTGGATGCATCACTGTTTATCCATTCTCCTCCTGAAGGACATTTTGGTTAATCCCATGTTTTGGCAGTTATGAATAAAGCTTTAGTAAACATTTGCCTGCAGGTTTTTATGTAGACATAGAGTTATAATTCACTTGGGTAGATGCCAAAGAAAGTAATTGTTGGATTGTTTGTTAAGAGTATATTTAGTTTTTTAGGAAATTGCCCAACTGTCTTCCAATATAGCCATACCATTTTACATTGTCACTATCAACAAGTGAGAATTCCTGTTGCTCCACATCCTTGCAAGTATTTGGTGGTGTTAGAATTAGGATTTGAGCCATTCTAATAGATATATATGGTATCTTATTGTTGTTTCAGTTTGGATGAACATTTTTTTATATGCTTATTTTCCATTTCTGTATCTTATTTGGTGTGGTATCTGTTAAGGTCTTTGGCCATTTTTTTATTGGGTTTATTATTGTTGAGTTTTAAGAATTCTTTGTATATTTTGGTTAACAGTCTTTTATCAGATATGTCTCTTTCGAATATTTTCTTCCATTTTATGGCTTATCTTCTCATTCTCTTTACATTGACTTTCTCAGAGTAAGAATTTTTTTATTTTAATGCAGTTAATTTCATTAATTATTTCTTTTTTTGGAATATGTTTTTGATATTATATCTAAGAATTCATAACTGTATCTAAGGTCATCTAGGTTTCTTCCTCTGTTAACTTCTAGGAGTTTTATAGTTTTGTGATGTACATTTAGATCTGTGGTTCATTTTGAATTAGTTTTTGTGAAGGGTTTAAGGCCTATGTCTAGATAGATATATAGTTGGTATGTAGATATCTGCTTGTTCCAGCACTATATGTTGAAAATACTGTTTTTGCTCCATTGTATTATCTTCAATCCTTTGTCAAAGATCTGTTAACTTATTCATGTGTCTTTTTCTAGACTGTATACTTTGTTCTATTGATGTCTGTTTGTCTAGTCGTTCCTTTGTCTGTTCTTTCACCAATCTGACACTGACACTGTCTAGCTTTATAGTAAGCTTAATCAAGTAGTGTCAGTCTTCTGAGTTTTATAAATATAATTTTCTATATATTGTGTTGGTTCTTCTGAGTTTTTTTTAATAACCATATATCTTTAGAATCAGTTTGTTAATATTTGTAAAATAACTTGCTACAATAATGACTATGGTTCTGTTGAATATATAGCTCAAGTTGGATAGAACTGACATCTTGACAATATTGTGTCTTCCTGTCAATAAATATGGAATATCTTTGCGTCTACTTAACTTTAATTTGATATTTTTCATCAGTGTTCTATAGTTTTCCTTGTACAGATCTTTTGCATATTTTGTTGGATATTTACACTTTTTAACTTTTTGTGTTATTAATTTCAAATTCTACTTTGTTCATTGCTGGCATATGGAAAACAGTTGACTTTTGTACAATAACCTGTATCCTGCAACCTTGCATTATTCCCTTACTAGTTCTAGTAGTTCATTGTTGATTCTTTTGAATATTGATTTTGTTGTTTATGTTGAATAATCATGTCATCTGCAAATACAATTTTATTTCTTCCCAAGTTTTATACCTTTTATTCCTTTTCTTACTGAATTATCTTGGGTTTTTAGTATGATATTGAAAAGCAGTAGTGGGTAGGAACCTCTTTGCCTTATTCCTGATCTTGGTAGGAAAGCTTTCAGTTTCACCATTAAGTATGTGCTAGCTATAATTCTTTTAATTTTCTTTATTAAGTTGAGGAAGTTTCCTTCTATTCCTGGTTTACTGAGTTTTTATGATAAATGGGTATTGAAGTTTGTCAGATAATTTTTTTTGCATGCATTGATTGGTCATGTAATTTTTCTTCTTAAACCCATTGATGGATATAAAGTAGTATGTTAATTGGTCTTTGAATGTTGAACCATCCTTGTATACCTGGGATACATTTTATTTGGTTATGTTGTATGATTCTTTATGTGCATTGTTTGATTCAATTTGCTTATATTTTGTTGAAGTTTTTGCATCTGTGTTCATGAGATACTGGCCTATAGTTTTCTTGTAATGTTATTTTCTGATTTGGTTTCAGAGTAATATTGGCCTCATAAAATGAGTTAGGAAATATTTCCTATGCTTCTGGAAGTGAGTGGAGAGAATTGTTTTAGTTTCTTTCTATGAATGAAATGCTCAAAGTGGAACTTTTCCCGTTTCCTGTGTCTTAAACACAAAGTGATTTTCCTCTGATAGTCATTGTGAAGAAGCAGTAGAGCTCTTGGAAATAAAACAAAACTGTAGGCCCTCCCCATGACTAGGTTCACTAGAGTTTTTAACTTGCAAAGTTGTCCATACTAAGCCTTCAGCACTCATCAATTATCTTTTGGGTTTTCCTGCCTCTGCACTGGTTCCCCAAAGAGGTCTATTCATGGTTTCCTGCTCCACTGTGATTTTTTGTGATTTTCTGTATTTACCTGTCTGTCTCTCTCCTTTTGGCCTTCATTTGCCCTGTGATCTCACTTCTCTGTCAGATATAAAAAGAATTGTTGGTTGGCTAGTGTTTTTATTTGTTCTCAGTAAGCTTCTTATATGCAGTACTCTGATTTTGGTTTTGGTTTACATTTTCCTGATAATTAGTTATATTGAGCAACTTTTTATGGGCTTCTTGGTAACTTATACATTTTTCTGTCCTTTGCTTGTTTTTGAATAGATTTGTGTGTGTGTGTGTGTGTGTGTCTGTGTATGTGTGTGTGTTGCATTTTCTGGATATTAACCCTTATCATATATATAATTGCAAGTATTTTCTCCCAACATTTTAATAATACTGTCTTCTAATCCATGAACATAGGATGTCTTTCCATTATTTCTGTCTTCTGAATTTATTTCAGCATTGTTTGGTACCTTTCATTTTATGAATCTTGTACCTCCTAAGTCAATTACTGAGTATCTTATTCTTTTTGATAGCATTTTTATAAAATAATTATTTTCTAAATTTTCTTTTCAAATTGTTCAATGTCAGTGTACAGAAATTCAACTGATTTTTGTGTGTTGACTTTGTACCATGATACTTTGCTGAATTTTTAACAATATTTCTGTGTAGCCTTTAGAATTATTTCCATATTAAATACAGTTATTTGTAAATAAAGATAATTTTACTGCTTTCATTCCAATTTTAATGCCTTCTGTTTCTTTTTATACCTTGATTTGGCAAAGAATCAGGATACAAAATTGATACACAAAAATCGGTTTACACCTTACACATAATACCTGCCTATACCAATCCTCTGAGATTTTTTCTGTTTTGTTTTCCTGATAAGCTCTATTTCTCAGAAAATATTTTCCCTCTTTTTATGGACAAAATTTCACCTCTGTTTGCTCAAGCCAAAAGCTTTTCTCCTTTTCTCCTCTTCCTGTACATCCTACATCCAAGTATTAGTTCTTTCTTTCCAAATATGTCCAGAGTATAATCACTTCTCTCCAATGCTACTGTTAGAATCCTGACCATAAAATCAAAGCAACAAAACACTGGTAAGAGAAATTAGGAAAACAAATTGTTTAAAGCTTGTTTTTCAGTTCTGAGCTCTTTCCTCTGTTATTAGCATTCTCCCTTTTCAATACTCCCTATTCAACTCCTTCCTTCTGATCTTCTTACTTTCTAGTCCAGGTCCTGAAGCACTTGGCACTTTATATCTGGAGGCTCCAACTGGTGATTGAAATTGAGATCATGTGATTTAATTTTCATAATTTTTAAAACAAAGACAGAATTATGTTTTTCATATTTAATAACTCTGAGACATTTATCTCAGTAAAAGCCTATACGCCAATTCTGATCAATGAATGGTTAAGATAATTTTCAGTTTTTTTAAAAATAAGTTAGTGTATATTTTACTAACTTCAACCCCAATATTTCTTGAGACATTTAGAGCTTCCTTTTTCAGTACTGTCATATTTTCTTGGCATTGTTTTGCTTGATTCTTGGCCATAAGTGTATATTATTTTCCTAAACTTTGCAAGTTGATTGGAGAAACACTTGCACTAGGAATAAGCAATTCAAACACACACACATAAAACAACATAAACAGGGAATAAGGAACAAGATGCTATATCTTTTCTACTATTTCAAGAATGAGAAAGCCAGCACAGTGGTGCACACCTATAATCCCAGCAACTCAGGAGGCTGAGGCAAGAAAGTTGCAAGTTCAAGGCCAGCCTCAGCAACTTAACCAAGAGCCTCAGAAACCCAATGAGAACCTGTCTTAAAATTTTAGGAGAAGAAAAAATTGAAAAGGGCCAAGGATGTCTTTCAGTGTTAAAATGTAAAGTGTTCATTCTCAGTACCCCCCCCCAAAAAAAAAGCATTAAAAAAGGAAAATGAAACAATGACATAACTTTTTACCTTATAAGGTTGGAAAGTTTTTTTTTTTTTTTTTTTTAAATAAGACAAAATAAGATAATGTGAGCCAGAGCATGTATCTACAGGAAATCTCTTATCCTCTTAATGGGGCTGTAAATTGGCACAATCATTTGATAAAGCAATTTGTCAGTATTATTTTTCAGATTTGTGTATCCTTGATCCATCAATTCTACTTCTGGTAATTTGTCTACAAATGTATTTTGCACATAAAATGTATACTCAAAGATGTTTATCATAGCACGTTTGTAATAGGAAAAACAAACAAAATAGAACCGAAAGCCAATAATCAGAGGACCAGTTAAATAAATTGTGGGACATCTATAGAGTGAACACAAAATTTTCTAAAATTTTATTTACTTATTTATTTTTGTGCCAGGGATTGAACCTAGGAGAGCTTAATCATTGAGTCACTTCCCCGGACCTTTTTATTTATTTATTTATTTGTAATTTATTTTACTATTGAGACAGGTTCTTAATAAGTTGCTTAGAGCTTTGCTAAATTGCTGAGACTGACCTTGAACTTGCAATCCTTCTGCCTTAGCCTCCTGTCACTGATATTATAGGCATGTGCCATCACACTTGGCTCTTTCCTCAATTCTTAAACAGAATAAACTAGATTGGCTTGGATTAATGTGTAAAACTCTCTGAAACATAGTAAGAGTAAAAGCAAAACATAGTTACCTTATGAATAGATTCTCATTTGTGGCTTTTAAACAAAATGGAAAATAGAATTTATTCATTTCAGTGCCAGAAAAATGCATGAAAACCATTGTGCACAGTGTGATGTGCTGTTTTTATTATATATTCCGGTTTGAATTTTGCTTATCATGGACATATGCAATTTTCACAATGAAGAATCAGTGATTCTCTGAATTAATTATTTCTTTTTTTGGATTTTTTCCAGATTTCTCTTGCACTTTGTTTTGTTTTGATGTTTGGGAACTCAATGTTGTTAACATCCTATTACGCTTCCTCTTTGGTAATTATTTGGGTAAGTGTTCCTTGGCTGTTTTTTAATTTAGTGGTATCAGTTTCTTTATCACTGGCTTGGGATCCATGAGGGTACAAGTTTGTTTTTCTTTTCTTTTTTTCTTTCTTTTTTTTTTCAGTTTCATTCTAAATAAGAAGTCATCTCTTCCAGAGGTAGTTGTGACTTTTTTTCCCATGGGTTTCACTATTACAGTGTTTTGCAAACCTAAGTTATTCCTTATATCTAAAATATATGCATTTTAGGATAGGCCAGTTTCTTGAAGACAAAAGCATATTGCATTGTCTTAATTGGAATATGTTCTACTTTTTGAATAATCATTTGAATTACTCTAGATTATGTTGGTTTTCTTGATTTCTAGAACCCATTAACAAATTTGGAGTCTCCTATGTCGTCATCCCATTGTACAAATAATAATTATTTACAAACTAGAACCCATCAATACATTTGTAGCTCCTAATGTTTATCCCATTTTACAAATAATAATTATAAAAAAGCCCATTTTCAAAAAATATTCCTCTTCCTAATCTGGGCTCCTACCCTTTTTAGATGTGTGACTTGAGTGTATTTAGCCACAAAAATAGTAATATAATATAGTAATACTATGTGGAAAATCAATAGCATGTTCTATGCAGTGTTTTCAACAAAAGTCATTAACTGAGTTGTTGTGCTTTTGGCAGTAATGAGTTTAGTTCTTAAAATCAGTATACTCTATAATTAGGAAATGTGACACTATACTCACTTCTATAAATTACCTGCCTACGTTAGCAAATGTTGCTGTTCCTTAAGATAAAATATATAATTCCTTGTACTTGTGTACAGGGAAGTCATTGAATTGAATATTGCATGTGAATACAATCTCATCTAAATTCATTTTGTAAGAAATTTCTTTTGAGTTCACTTGAGCTTCGACAGTGTGTCAGGTACACTTCTAGATGATTGACACTGACATTGTCTTAGGTATGAATTAAGCAGATTTATGTGTACTTTTTACATGGTATATATAAATAATACTAACAGTTAATAGAATATTGTATATTTATGTATATTTGCCTGTGTATTGTTGTGTAATGATTTTGAAACCTGAATTGTATCACTTTTCTCAAATGCTCAGAAAACTTCTGAAATGACTTAATTTGGATTCAAATATATGTGTTTTGGTATCTAATTATATTTGCCAAGTTTCAATTAGGTTTTGTTCTCTAAAGGTGATATACTTTGGGAGTTCATGTACTTGGAAAGACTTTAGATTTGTCAGAGAAGTATTTAGTTGATCCAGTAAAATCACATTTGTGCTCCCAGGAGCCAGTAATTTTTAGTTTAAGTAAAATCTTATTCCTATATGACTGCTGCCTAAAATTCTGCATTTGTTACTTGCTTCTTGGTTCTTAGGTAAATCAGATATGTAAAAACAATCTTAGAAATTTCTATCTAGTGATTCTGTTTTCAATTTTGCAGAGTTACTAACTGACCTAATCTTTGGATATAATAAAGGCTATGTTTTGAAATTACTGACTACAGAAATGAGTATATAGTAATACTATGTGGAAAATCAACAGTGTGCTGAATCTTAGATGCTTAAGAGTCTATTTAGAATAATTATTTGTTTCTTGAAATTCTATTAACTATTATTTTCTCTATTCAGGGCATGCTGGCATTGAAACCACATTTTGTGAAAATAAATGTGTCTGAGCTTAGTTTATGGGTAAGAATCAGTCTATTTTAATGCATATGTTTTTTTCTTTAAAATATTTTGGTTTTATGTTTTACTTTTTTTATTATTAAAGTTTTATGGTTATAATAGGAGTAGTTGGGTTCATCCCGACAAACTCATATATGCATGGAAATAGATTTCATTTCATGATCCCCCCTTTTCTTTCCTTTTTTCCTTCCTGTCCTCCCTCCCTTCTCCCATTCTCCTTCCTCTACTCTACTAGACTTCCTTTCACCCATGTATTAATTTATATTTGATTGGTTCTTTATGTTATCCTCTCCTTCCCTCCCCCTTCCCTTTATTTTACTCTAGATTCTACATATAAGAGAAAACATTTGACCTTTGAATTTTATGTTTTACCTTTAATATATCTTACAGTTTTGTTATATTTTAAGACTCACTATTAATGTACCACTTTGCCCTTTTCATGAAGCAAGTTAAGATTAGTCTGGGATAGGTAAAAAGTTCCAGTTTTATTATCCACATTTCTTTTGAGAAATGGCACATCTATAAGTAATCTCCATAGAAGGAGAATCATACAAAGCCCCAGTAATTAATTTTTGTTAATAAAATTGTAAGTATATATTTTCACTTGTAGCTAGTGTCCCTCATTTTGGAGCACCATGCTTTATTTAAAATTGAGATACATTTTGCAGCATTTTCTTTTAGAGACATTTAAAGCTTTAGGCTATGGAATTTGAAGCATCAAAGTTCATTTTGTTTCTTTTTAAATTATTTATTCATTCACTTATTTTGTAGATTATCCAAGGATGTCTTTGGTTGTTTGGAACCATTATACTCAAATATTTGACATCTAGAATCTTTGGGATTGCAGATGATGTAAGTTTTCACTTAAACTTAAAAGACGTGAGAAGACTCAAAACAGGCTGAGAATGAAATTTTTGAGTTATTAAAGTGCCACTATTTAAACCTAATTCTAGGTGCAGTCTATTCACCCATTTTTTAATTATTTAATATGATAGAAAGCAAATGTGATTACGTGTATAGTTTTTATTCTCCAGAATTAATCTTGGCATAATTCTTTTGTATCTTTTTATATCTTCTACATCACAAATATTTAAATATTTAATACAAGGAAACAGTAGAGATTAAAGCCCAGATTTTAAGGTCTGTGGAGCCACTGACTTTTTAATTATCCCCTTTTGTAACAGATAAAGATGCTATCTTCAGAGCTTCAACTGGAGATCCTCACTGCTCCCACTTTGAGTTTTCTGGTCAATGTTGTGAATGCTCTATTTATAAGCCATTGTAGGTAATTTAGTCTAAGTTAGGCTTCTTAATAGAGGTTTTGTTTGCTTTGATGTTTGACTATGAGAAAAATTAAAATGATAAGTTTTCTGTTTTGTAACTTTCTAGAGGCTTTAAAACTTCTGCTTTGTAAACCAGTTGTTCTTTTCAGCAAAGTGCAGCCTTTAAGTTTATGAGCTCTGGTGTCAGACAGACCTAGGTTTAAATCCTAATTGTCCTGTTTTTACTTGTGAGAGCTCAGGCAATAAGTATAAAGTTTTTGTGCAGAATAACATGGGGTCAGTACTTCATAAATATTAGTTGTTGTTATCATTATTATTTTATATTACTGTTGCTATTGTCATTTATTATCATTGTTTATCATAAACATTTATACACACACACCATATCTTCATCCATTCACCCTTAAGTGTAAAATTAAGTTGTTTCCATATCTGAGGTGTTGTTAGTAGTGCTGCTATGAATGAACATGGTTGCAGGTATCTCTTCATTAGTTATTTTTCTATGGTTGGTCTAGGGATTATAATATGCATCTTAATGTATAACAATCTACTTTAGGCTAATACTGACTTAATTCAGGAAAACTATATAGTGCCTTGGCACAAGTTTATCTCCACTTTCTCCCCACTCTTATGTATTATTATGTACATCATCTATATGTAAGTGCCAACAACATAGTTATGATTATTGCATTATATGATCTTGTGTCTTTCAGAAATTGAAAGAACAAAAGTGTTTATATTGCCTTTTGTATTTATCCACATTTTTGCCATTTTTATTGTACTTAATTTCTTCCTGTGAACATGAGTTACTGCCGATTTCATTTTCTTTTAGCCTGTGGAATTTCCTTTACTAATTCTAGTCAGGCAGGTCTATAGCAGTGGATTCTCTCAGGTTTTTTTTTTTCTCTTCTGATGTTTTTATTTACCTTTATTTTTAAAGACTCATTTTGCTATATGTAAGATTATTGGTTGACAGTTATTTTCTTTCAGAACTCCGACCCCCATTTTTCTCTGAGAAGCCAATTAATATTATCTTATAAATATTAATGAAGTTAATAAAATAATATCAGTCAATCAGTATTTCCCCTATACATGATGAGTTGTTTTTCTGTTGTTGCTTTCGAGATTTTCTTTCTCTTTCACATTTAAACGTTTGAGTACGATATGTCTGAATGTGGATCTTTTGTTCATCTTTCTAGATGTTTATTGAATTTCTATAAGTTACAATTTTTCATTTGAATTAGGAAGATTTTGGTCATTATTTTTTCAAACATTGTTCATTTTTTAATGTCTCCATTAACATGTTTATGTGCTTAATATTCCGTTTCTGAGGCTTTGTTTGTTTTTCTTTCTTTTTTTTCCCCTCTATGTTCTGTCTGTCTGCCGGTATTTATTTATTTACTTACTTTGGTACTGGGGTGTGTCTTAGCACTCTACCACTTAGCTACATCCCCAGTCCATGTTTTATTTTTTATTTTGAGAAGGGGTCTTGCTAGGTTGCCCAGGCTGGCTTTGAACTGGAATCCTCCTGCCTCAGTAACCTAAGTAGCTAAAATTATAGGCATGCACCTTACTCTCAGCTTGTTTGTTTTTCTTTAGTCTCTTTATTTCTAATTTTCAGACTGGATAATTTCTATTAACCTGTCTTTAAGTTTATTGATTATACTGCCTTTTGACACTGGCTGTTCCGCCCATCCTGTGAAGTGTCCATTTCAGTTATACATTTTAACTCTTGAGTTTTCATTTATCAAAATTTCTATTTCCTCTTGAAATTTGCTATTTTCTGAGTCATTAGCATAATGTTTTAATTTTTAATGTGATTTTAAAAAATTTCACATATTTGTAATTTGTAATTGCCACTTTGAAGTTTTTGTCTGCTAAGTATAATATCTGAGCCTTCTCAGAGTCACTGATTTTTTTTTTTTTTTTGGTGGCACTGGGGATTGAACCCAGGGCCTATGCATGTGATGCAAACACTACCAACTGAGCTATATCTCCAGCCCTCAGAGTCAGTTTTTATTGATGAATTTTTTTCCTGAATATGTATCAGACTTTTCTATTCATTTGCATGTCTCACTAAGTTTTCCAAAACCGGGATATTTTATTTTATTTTTATTTATAAGTTCTTTCTTTCTTTCTTTTTCTTCCTTCCTTCCTTCCTTCCTTCCTTCCTT